CTCTGTGGCTGTGGAGGTGAGGGAGGAAGGAGGGGTGGCTATGGCGATGGAGCTGGTAGTCCACATTGGGCTGTGGGAGCAAGTAAGAGACATCGGTAGGAGGAGGGGGGAACTTGGTGGTGGACAAGAAGGCCTCTGTGGCTGTGGAGGTGAGGGAGGAAGGAGGGGTGGGTATGGCGATGGAGTTGCTAGTCCACATCGGGCTGTGGGAGCAAGTAGGAGACATCGGTAGGAGGAGGGGGGAACTGTGATGGGGACTTCTGTGGTTATGGTTGACTCTCATCCTCGTTCCCAAGGTTGGTGCTGGTCTCTGTGGCGATGGAGGTGAGTAAGGAAGGAGGGGTGGCTATGGCGATGGAGCTGCTACTCCACATTGGGCTGCTGGAGCAAGTAGGAGACATCAGGAGGAGGAGGAGGGAACTATGATGGGGACTTCTGTGTTTATGGTTGACTCTCATCCTTGCTCCCAAGGTTGGTGCTGCTTCAAGAAGACCCTTTTAGGGGTATCCAAGCTGCATAGGAGAGTAGGGGTTGTGTTGTCCTCTGTACGTATGGCTTGAGCAGCGGGATGACTTGCTAACCATGGTTGAGAGGAGGAGAGAAAAGCAGACTGACCGCTTTGGAGGGGAGATTCATTGTGCAGTCACTGTAATGACTCTTTGCTCATTTATTCATCCTTTCATTATAACGGACTTGATAGGAGGAGGAGAGTTTGAGGGTGATGAAAAGGTGGAAAGACAGGAGAGAGATGACATTCTAGGATTTGCTTCTTCTTCCCCTCCTCTTCTTCCTCTCCTCACTTAGTTCTCTCTCTCTCTCTCTCTCTCTCTCCACCCTTGTGTTCTTCATGGTTGTATTGTGCTACATGACGTTGTCGCAAATTTGAGTTTACATCACAATTCAAGTTGGATCATAAAAGAGTGCACTCTTTTATGATCTAACTTGAATTGTGATGTAAAGTTGTAAACTTGAATCATGATGTCTTGGCTAGATTTGGAACAGGCAGTTTGAGGTATGGAATGTGTCAGCAATCCTGTTTGTTTCCTCATTGTTGATGGTCCAGCATGCTGACAATCCGCAAACACCTGTTACTGAACTGCTTTTCGCATATTGATGCTGCTTTGGTCATCGAATGAAGTCCTGATGAATCTTTTGCATGGTCTTGTCTGAAGTTGCCCTTTCATGGGGAGCATCAGCCCTCTTTGTTTTCCTTTTCTTATTCCCTGACCCTCCCTGCCCCTGCCTCTCTTTTTGTTTTGCCAAGTTTCTTGTCTTGTCAAAAAAAAAAGAAGAAAACAGGTCCTTATGACCTTGGCTCCATATCCATTCTGGGGAGCATCAGTCCGGTTCCTGTTCCACTGGCAAGTCAAAAATACAATATGAATGCTCTCATGCATCCCCTCCCGTTTGGCCGAAGGACTCCTGCCTGGACAGCATCGATCGCTCCAGATGTCTGGAGGATTGGCTGTCAGCTGGCCGTCCTTCCTACATTTCCTCTCAGATTTGCTTCCCAAAACCTGCCTACTTTAATTTGACTCCCAAGAAATAACGCCGGAGTATGGGTACCGATGACCCCTGAGGGCCATGTGTCTTCTTTTTAGTTGGCATTCAACTTATTTTGGTAATGGATCGTTCTGTCAGTTCTGTGTAAAAACTACTGCACCCAAAAGAGTGCTGTGTACCTCTCTTACACTGCAAATGTGTCTATGTTCATCCTCCTGACTACATTCATTGGGCAATGGTTGTGAATGCACATTGTCAGTTTCTGGGCATCCATGCCTCCGAATGTTAGCTGTGAACTTGATGGGCAGAGACGGCTGACTGGTTTAAGGGTAGGCAGTGAGGGAATGACCAACCGGTTGAGTGGGCTAAGCTTACAAGCTCTTATGTGGACTTTCCCTACAACTGTGCCGTTTCATAACCTTGTGGTTTATGTCTGTGCAGAAATGATCCTACTCTTGTGTTTTGCTCGAAGCTGAAGGCTCTTGCGGAGGAATATGAGCGCATTCATTGCATGCCAACAGCGAAGGTCAGCATTTGCTCATCTTAGTCTCTCACTTACTGCGTGCGTGTGTTCAATTTGGCTTACTGTAGCAGTTCTGCAGGAAAGGAGAACCAAGTGCTGGTTATGTGTGGACCATTATGGTACTCTTGTATGGACCATTGTGGGATACAGTTTCTTTGATTTGTTGTGCTGGATCCACCTGTAATTTCTTCGCGTACTGCTCATCTTTAATGTGTGTTCTTTTCTTCACCTCTTTTTGGGATGATATTGTTAATGCAGACCAGCAATCCAATGGTTGCCTCGGTTCCTGCACAGCCGACCGTGGATCCCAGCGCTCGTCTCATGGTACTGGCAAATGGGCAGGCAGGATTGACATCGTCTTTGCCAGTCCAAGCGGGAGTGACATCATCATTGCCTGGTCATACAGGAGTGGCTTCGCCGTTGCCGGGACAAACAGGACTGGCGTCGTCGTTTGCTGGGCAAGCAGGAATGGCACCGTCTTTTCCTGGCCAGACGAGAATGGTATCATCATCTTTGCCTGGCCAAGCAGGAATGGTACCGTCTGTGCCGGGCCAAGCAGGGATGGCAGCGTCTTTGCCTGGCCAGGCGCTGGGGAGTGCTGCTGTATCCGGCATGGGGTCGAGCAGTGCATCTGGACTAGCAACGATGACAACTGGGGGCCAGGTAGGAGGGCATGCGGTGGGAGTCGACCCGAAGGCCATGCAACCGTTTGGTGCTGTGGGTGGCCAGGCTTACCAGAGCGGGATGAGCGCGGCAACAGTAGCTGGGCAGACTGTGGCAGGTGGAGCGCCGGCGCAGACTATGACAGTACAGCCAGCTAATAACTTTAGGGGGGACCAAGTGATGGCTAGTGGTATTGGCACACATGTTACTTCTACGCCTTCCTCTATGTCGGCGGCAGCAGGCTCCACCACAGGTCAAGCAACAGTGTCTACACACCCAAGCCAGCCTTCTGCAGAGAATGGGTATCGTGGAACCGACGACCCGACTTTCAATATGTTCGAGGTAATTGGCACTGGTTACTTTAACCCTTCTTTCAGTTCTGACTTGTGTGGGTTAACATTGTTTCGGTGTTCTGAGCGCTCTCGCACTCTCAAAGTTTATGGAACTATGTTATTCCATGAGCAAAGATGAGGAGGCGTACAGTGTTTAGCCCTGCAAAGGCAAATAAAAGCCTTTTATGAACCAGGGTTGCAGTACCGACGTGTAGATGGATGCTGAAGTACTTCACCTATGAACATGTAATGAAATCATGCAAGGGAGAAATGATATTTCTGACCTGAATGAAGTTGCCCTTTTTCTGCACGTGTCTACCCTTTTTTCACGTGTACCCTTTTTTCACAAACTCCCAGGGTTTAATCATCTGGTCTTTTTCGATGTCCTGCTAGGCTGTTTTTCCAGGCGCCCGGGCACCCAACTTCTGCCTGGGTACACGCCTGGTTGCCCAGCCGGGCATGACCCCCGGGCAGGGTTCCTGGCAGCCCCAGCGCCAAAGAAAAAAAAAAATCCGGGAAAAAAAAATGTCGTGTACGATTGACATACAAACGACTTTTGGCTTGGGGTCACATTATAATTCCTCACAGAATCGGAGATAAAAAAGAAATTAACAGAATCACACAAAGGCACTCCCCTTTCCCCCATAGTTGCGGCGCACGTGTGCGTTGCGCGGTGTGCGCCAGCGTGCAGTGCGCAGTGCGCTTGTTTAGCAGTGTGCACACTGTGCGCTGTGCGGTGCGCAGTGAGCGCACTACGACCTGTGCGCCCAGTGCGCCGGAAAAAATAAATAAAATAAGCATGAACCCCGTGTGTGTGTGTGTGTGTGTGTGTGTGTGTGTGAGAGAGAGAGAGAGAGAGAGAGAGAGAGAGAGAGAGAGAGAGAGAGAGAG